TATACAATACCACAAAAACATTTAAAAAAAACAAACAAACAAAGGAACGGGGGAGACCTTTCGTGATTAGTAAGAACAGAAGATTGGGGACCAGCATAAAGCATCTTTAATATATTCATACATTTCGAACCAAAGCCAATTTATCGAGGGCCGCCAACATATATCTCCACTCTACCTGGTCAAAAGCCTGCTGAGCATCTAGTGAGATCACAGCGGAGTGGGGCAATTTGGTTGAATACAATAAATTTAGCAAACACCTTGTGTTTGAGAAAGAAAATCTATTGGGGATGAAACCTGATTGATCAGGATGAATTAAAGTGCCAATATATTTGTTTAACCAGTTGGAAAGGACTTTTGCAATAAGTTTTTTGTCAGAGTTAAGCAGACTTAGGGGACGATATGATGTAATGTTCGTTTCGTCTCTGTCCTTTTTTAAGAGGACACAGATATGGTCATCGTAAAGGGTGTGAGGGAATATACCATTTTCCACTGAGCAATTGACCATCCCAAGCAAGAGCGGAGCGATAAAGTCAATGTGTGTCTTATAAAATTCTATTCCAAATCCATCTGGAACGCATGCTTTGCCGTTGGGAAAAGAACGAATAGCATTTCTGATTTCATCTAGCGTTAAGTCAGAGTCCAATTCCAGTCTTGCAGAATCAGAAAGGAGTGGAAAGTCTAGAGTATGGAGAAAGTCGGCAATGTTTGTATCCGTGGCAGTAGATCTAGAATTATATAGCTGGCTGTAAAAACTAAAAAATCTGTCATTGATTTGCTTGTGATCAGTTAAAAGCTGACCGGTGGATGAGGAAATTTTATGTATTGCCCTATCGGATAGGACGCCCTTCAGTTGCCTAGCAAGCAATTTATCGGCCTTCTCACCCAGCTCAAAGTGCTTCTGCCTTAATCTACGAATATAGTTCCCAACCTGCTCGCCCAGAATATGGTTGTATTCATATTTCACTTTCAAAATAGAGCTAAGGGTGTCTTCAGAACCAGTGTTATGATAGTCCTTCTCCAAATCAACCAATTCAGCCTCAATATCAGTGCGACACCTGTGCCTGGCCCTTTTGCGAGACGCCTGAAACGAGATGACGTGTCCTCTTATAACGACTTTAAAGGACTCCCACAAGGTAGAATCTGAGACGGTGCCATTGTCATTAAAATGCAAAAAATCTGCAATCTTGGACGATATGTAGTCACTGAAAGTGTCATCTAAATATAAAGAGTGGTTAAATTTCAAATTATATTGAGGGGCATAAATATTAAAGTCAATCACCATTGAGAGGGGTGCATGGTCTGAAATTAAGATACGATGGTAAGTCGAACCTGTTACATTCGAAATAAGTCTAGAGTCAACCAGCAGATTAACAATTCTAGTGAAATTGCCATGCACAGGGGAGAAAAAATAATATTGTCTTTCTAAGGGGTGCTGGTGCCTCCAT